CTGGGGATGTCCCACAAAGTGTACCTACAGACCCTGCCCTGGACCGGAGGTGCCATAAACAGTGAGCAAATAAACCCATCTCCCAGCTTGAGCAGAGGGGAGAGACCAGGGATGGGGCGCTTTTAGAAGCAAGTCAGAGGTGGCCCCTCTAGATGAGAACCTAGCAGGAAGTGAGGAGCCCACGACGCAGGCGGCTGGCTGTGGGAAATGCATATGAGGGCCCAAGACCTGACCCACATCCGAGGGACACATGGATGCAAAGCCTTGCCTGCCCACCAGGGTCCAGGGGGAGCTCAGAAAGGTCCTTGTGGATACAGCAGAGGAGCAAAGCAGGGAGATGGCTGCCAGGTCTGCATCCGAGAACCCCAGTCCGAGGCTGGCCTGGCGGTCGGCTCCAGAGATGGTTGGGAGATGGAAGAGATAGGCCTGGTCCCAGGGGCTCTCAGTCTGGCCTGGTGACCTGCCCCACCCATTGCAATTCCCTCTCCGTCCACCTGGGGGCGGACCTGGCCCAGGAGGAGGTTGGTGGGGGAGGCAGCCGCACACCTGGCAGGTGGCAGGCAGGTGAACCAGGCGAGGCATCTCCCAGTTTACAGACAATATAAAGAGCCCTCCCCCCACCCAGGTAGCCCAGAACTCAGGGCAGGGCCCCCCCACCCAGGCATGTGAACCCCAGGATGTCCTGCCCACCAGCCCCTTCCCTTGTGAGGCCCTGGGGGGAGGGGGAGGAAAGTGGGCCAGGAACCTGGGGATGGACCCTTCTCCCACCTGGGGCTCCTGGGTCCTGAGGGTGTCCCTGGACAAATACCACCCCCTGACCCAGCTTCTCAATGTCCTCCCCTGACTCCACCAGCCCAGCAAAGTGCAGGCAACTTGGGTTTGAACTGACTTTATTATTCTGTAAATGTGAATTTTACAAAGCGCTTTACAATTAACGATCACATCCTTTTGTTTGTGTATAACGGATTTCCACCTTATAAGTCGGCTCTGAGCACGCTAGAAGCCCTCGGTTTCCCGGTTGCTGGCGGATGTTTCTGTTGTTGGAGTTATTGATACGGTGTCAGCCGTGGCTGAAAAGCAACAGTCTTGACTCTGCCACGTAGCAGCATGAAGGAGCGTGAGGAGGCAGGAAGAACAAAGCTTTCCTCCTTCTTAAAAAAAAAAAAAAAAAAGCGAGCATCTTCTGTGGCTGAAATGGAACTCAGTGGTATGTGAGACAAATCTCCTTTATACAGCACAGGAACAATTTGTTTATTTTTTAACAGTCGTGAGTTACAGTACTACCGAACCGCTCAGCAGACTTTTACAACAACCGTCTCCTTTTAAAAAGTCTCTTTTCCCCAAACATTCCGTCCAAAGGATGAATGGTCTGTTTGCACCCAGTGCCATCCAAATGTTCAAGTCAAAAATATTTATACATTTTATACTCAGTTTTTTTTTTTGTCTGCTAAAAATAGTATTGCAAGTTTGGCTTCTTTTGACATAAAAATTACAATCATGTGCAAAACGCTACAATGAAGCGATTGATCAGAATTCAAGCAGGTTGTCCAATCTGAATGTGTTAGATTCTGCATAATTTTCCTTTTTTTTTTTTTCCAAAGAAACAAAACAAACAAACAAAACCCAAAAACCTCTGCTGTGTTGAAACATCTTGTGCCTCCGGCGGGTGAGACCCTAGGAGCGGCTGGCTGACACAAGACGGATGGGCGCAGCAGCCGCGTTCTCAAACAGTAGTTACAGCTCAAGACAGCTATGAACCCTCACTATATAGGATTTACTGCTGCAGAGGCAGACAGAGGTTTTCTCTGAGTTTTCAGTTGGTTAATGGGCCATAGGCCTTTTTCCACTTGCAGCAAGGTATTTCCATAAAAATAACCCATCTGAGGGGAATTGAAGCAGTAAGCGTCTGGGGCCGGCGGTGAATATGGGGAGCGGTCAGGCTCCATGGCCTCCCTGCCCTCCCAGGCCCCACCCCTGCCTGCCTCCCAGCTCTAAACACAGCCGCCGGAGAACGAGTTTTCACGGAGGAGAGATAAACCCAGGCTCCTGGAGCCCCCACCCGCTGTCACCCAGCACCAGGACAGCCAGGCGGGGGCTGCAGGCTGTGCCCCCGGAGGTCTCTCCCCTCGGCCTCTCGTCCACAGCTGCGTCCACATTCGGGGCAAGGTAAGACAATCGAATCAGATGCAAAGTGAAGCGACCACAGAGAACTCTGGGTGACACCAGACACAGTGCAGAACACAAGACAGAATTCAAGTACCGAGGCATGCCGGCCGGGCGGGCGGGGCCGCCCCAGCTCACAGTATCTGTCACATCTCCCGGTCCCTTCTCCTGGACCTTTCACACTCCGTCCCAGCTGCCTCCTGTGGCACATCCCGTCCCGCTAGGGAGGGCAGGAGAGGGCAGAGCGGCGGCCGGATGCCAAGCCAGCCACCTGCCACATCAGCTCCGACGTGGTCCAGTCCCTTCTCTCCTCCTGGAAAAGGCGCTGCTATAACTTAGCTCTCTAATAGACTCTATGTAGTATATGCGTATTGCTAATAGTCAAGCTTAGGAATAAAGGTGCAGACATCTCATAAATACTGAGTGGCTCGTCTCTCGGTCTACGGGGTCTGGGTGAGTCGGGATCACGCACATGGGACAGGAATTAGTCGTCTTGTAAACAGAGGAGGGGGAGGGTCCGGTTTTCTTAATTGGTTTTCCTTGGGAAAAATGATCAAAAGATGCTAAGGCACTCTGGAAGGCCCCTCCGAGCCCAGGCCTGCCGCCACCCGCCCCGCGGAACATTCTGGACGCGGAGGGAGCGCCCCGGCAGATACAATCATCAGCCATGCCCGTCTGCAAACGCTCCCGACCACGTCCACCGCGGGACATTAGTGCAAAACGCTCGGCCCAGCCCACCCGGGGTGCAGGCAGAGCTCAGAACCCATTCACATTGAATTATTATTAAAGTTCCACCTACAGCTCTTGCCTTCCTTACCCAGGACAACAAAACAGACGGCGATTATAAACAATCAAGGGACAGAGGTCACGGGACATTGTGCTAGCCTGAGCGGGGGTCAGGCGTTTGCTGTGCAGCCACCGCCTCCTCCACAGGGCGAGCGGCACCCCCGGTCCTGGCCAAGGGTGGGGGCGCCGCGCCCACTTTGGAGTGGAGGAGACAGAGGGAGAGAGAGCCAGCCCTTCTGTCGAAACCCAGGACGGGCAGCCGGCTCTCGAAGGTCCCCAGGGATGGTCAAATTAAAGTGCAAATTTGGGGGTGTGGTAGATGAAGGGAAACTCCAGAGGAGATGGGTGGGGTCAGCCTCCCCACCAGCACCTCCCCCACCCCGTGGCCTCCTCCCAATTCCAGGAGGACTTGGTCCTGGTCCCTAGTGGGCTGTGGGCCCCAGCCTGTGTAAGCTCCAACCCCACCTAGGCGGAGACGGGGAGGAGGAAGTGGGGAGAGAGAGGAGCCTCGGGCCAGGTGGTGGGTTGGAGCCCCAGCAGGAGCTGCAGCCCTTCAGGCCCACGACCCCAGGGCTCGGCCCTCCCACTGGGGCAGGGAGGGGCCGGTACAGAGGCCAAGATTAGCTCCTGCAGGCCCGCCTAGGGTCCCCCCACCCCTTCCCAGAAGCCATCAGATCTTTCTAGAGGGCAGGCACAGGCCTGGCCTGCCTGGAGGAGGCCCAGGAGGCTGAGTGTAATCTGGGAAGGAGCCCCCACCCCACCTGAGGTCTCCGGGGCACAGGGAGGGGCGGCAGTCAGCAGGAATGGGGAGCCTGAGTGGGAAAGCGCCTAAGCCTCCTGGCCCAGGTTGCCCCACATGGGGACCCTGCAGGAGGCCCTGCAGCCAGGGAAGGCTCAGCTCTGTGGGGCATGGGCGGGGCTGAGCCACACCTGTCCGGTCCCGTGTGCACCCACAGGTGGAGGGGCTTGCTCTGCACCCGGGATGAGACGAAGGGAAGCAGCAAGAGCCCCCTCCACGTCTAGGGGTGAGGGAGTGTCCCTGGCCATGCGTGGGGCTGCCTGGGACTAGAGAGGAAGGTGGCCCCTGGACAAGCAGCCACATGAGTACTTTGGACAACCTGTGCCCCACCCCACAAGAACAAGCAATGAAACTTCAAAGTGAGCATTTCAGCCTCAAACAAACCATCAACCCTGTGGGCCCTTCCTTCCCGCCCCTCCAGTGCATTCCAGAGCCTCGGAACCTGCTGCAGCTCCCGGGTGCCCGCCCCGCCCCGCCCGCAAGCTGCCCTAGCTCAGGCCTGCACCCACTGCCCAGCCACCCACAGCCTCAGAGGTGCACCCCGAAGGCTTGGAGCACAGTACGGGGTAGCCCGCACCGAGGGGACCCCACTCCAGCCCCAGCCTGGGCCCCTGCCTCCTGTGTGGCCTCTGCTTCCTCCGTCAGACACCCTGCTGCACTCCCCTGGGACCCCCGCCCCCAATGGGAGGTGAGTGGGACCTGGTGGGGGTGGGGGGCTTGGTATACAGATGACTCACGCCCAAGCCACAAGTGGGTTGGGGGAGTGACACCCCATCCTCCCTAATTTTTTGCTCTTTTGGGTCTGAAAGTTTCCAAACCATATATGAAATAGATCTGAATTAAGACAAAAACATAGACAGAATCCCAGCATGGCTGAGGGCTGCACTGGGGCGGCCCCACCCCACAGATGGCCAGCCGCCAGGCAGAGCCAGCAGGTGCTCAGAGCCAGTGGCCCAAGGGGCCATGGAGCTGTGGGCAGTGGGCAGACCCCGAGAGTGCGGGGTGGAGATAGAACAGATACAGCCAAGAACAGTTCTGCAGCCACAGTGACCAGCAAGGCCCCTCGCTGGGCCCTCACACTGTTCCCAGCACACACTCACATGCACTCACACACTCCCCACACACACCCACACCCCACACAATGGTGGACCCGGCAGGTCTGACCCCCGAGTCTCAGGAAGAAGGAAAAACAAGAGAAGTTTGGCCCCTGGGGGCCCAGCCCTAGCCTGTGGCCCCACAGGGGCAGGCGGGGTCCCTGTGGGTAAGGAACGGGTGTCTGGGACCCATGCCCCCACTCTGCCGGCCTCTGGCTTTGTCCCCGGGGCAGAGGGAACAGGAAGGGGGGGAAGTGGGCAGAGGGGGCACCGGGGCCTCTTGCCCCCCCTCCCCCCCAAGAAGGGGCAGGGGGCTAACCTCGAGAGTATCAAAAGGAGCCCTGGGACCTCTCTCGCCACAGGGTCGCAGGGGCCTAACCGTTTACAGTATAATAAATGCATTTGTTTCCTTCATAAACTTTAAATACAAGCAGAATAAAAATCACATTTTTTTCAGGCAACAGTAGCAGTTCAGTAGGTAAGTGGCTTGATCACATTGTCGTATTAGTAACGCATGCAAGCAGCTTTAGTACCCGGTCCCTCGCGCGTCTCCCCATCCTCTACAAGGTCCCCGTGTAGGAGCCCTCCTGTCTCCTCGCCGCCGGCGTCGGGGGCCGGCTGGAGCTGGCGCTGCCCTGCTCGAAGGGCTGCCCGGGGCTCTGGCCATCGGCGGGCAGCGGCTCGGGTGCAGCCACCTCCTGGATGACTGAGCCGGCCCCGTCCGCCACTTCACTGGCCTCAAAGGCGGGGTTGGCGGCGCCCAGGTCGACATTCACGGCGTCAGTTCTCAGAGCCACGATGGTGGCGGCGTCGCCGCGCCGCTCGGCGTAGATGCGCTGCTCGAACACCTGCGCCGCGGCGGGCGGGAACTCGGGGTCGAGGGGCACACCGGCGGCCGAGGAGCCCATGACCGTGCGGTACATCTCCACACCCTCGGGCAGCATGGACTTGATCTTGGGCAGCCAGCGCTTCCGGACCCGGCGGGCGTTGGTGCACATGTCCGCGGCAATCACGTTCATCTCGCTCTCCTTGAAGCTGGGCGCGAAGTTCTGACAGTACACTGCAAGGACAGGGCGCGCGGAGGCGGGCGTGAGGGTGGCCGCCCCCGCCCCCCCGGGAATTCCACCACTGCTGACCCTGCACCTCCCGAGGGGCCACAGAACCCAGACGCCCCGGACGAGCCTGCGGTCAGAGCGCTATGAGCCAGAGCAGCCACTCCCAGGCCAGTGGGGACGGCCTCCGTCCTGCTCCCCACTGGCACGGGAGACCAGGCGGCCACCCAGGCCTCTCCCGGCCTCAGCTTGAAGACCAGCGGCCACCCTCTCACCACTTGGGCGTGGAGGCACTGCCACACTCCTCTGGGACAGTCCCTGGCTGGAGCGTTCAGGGCAGGGGGACACCAGCGCGAAGGGCGCCAGGCTGTGGCTCCAGTGTGAGCACAGGACCAGGGACTTGGCCTCCTCCCTGAGAACTGGCTGGCTGTGTGGTCTTGGGCAGGCCCCTTAGCATCTCTGGGCCTCACTTTCCCCCTCTGTCCCACCCACCCTGGATCTGAGGGCCTGGTCAGACAAGCCTGATAGCTACCCCCACCCTGGCCAGAAGGGGTGTCAGGCCAGGGCTCTGAGGTCAAGCAGCCCTGGACAGCTGCCCACTGTGAGGCTTGGGCCTCTCTAGGCCTGACAAAGGTTCCTCCTCACAGGCTGGACAAGGAGAGAGAAGGGAGCCAGTCGACACCTGTCCTCGGCCCCGTCCCCAGCCCCAAGAAAGTGAGCAGCAATGGGCATCAGCATCACCATCATTAATAATAAAAACCCTCTCCTTTCTCCACCGGGAGCCACAAGACCCAGCTCTCCGAGCAGCAGGGAACCTGGAGGCAGGTCCCCCAGGGCGAGCCCTCGGTACCACAAGCCCTGCTACGGGGCAGCATCAGCCACCTCCCTCCCAGCATCTTCCCAGAGCCCCTGCCAGCACCCCAGGCTTTGGGACTGTAATTACCCACTGCAGAGGCCCCTCTTTGCTCTAAAACAGAATCAGCCTCACAAGAAATGTTTCTTAAGAAAGGAAATAAGAGAGAGTTCCGTGTGCTGATGGCTACACAAGGACGTGCTCTTGGGCAATCTGGCCCATGCTGGGCACTAGTCGGCTTCTTCCGAGTCTGGGGGTGCGAGGATGGGGGTGGTGGTCTGCCACGAAGATGGACCGGGCTCCACCCCCACGCGCCCAGGAGCGGGAGGCAGAAGCCAGTGGAGCAGATGGCAAAGGCTCAAAATAACCTCAAAATGTAAATAAGGGGTTTTGTTCAAAAAGGAAAATTAGATCTATTTCACATATTAAAATAGTTTCACAGCTGAATTCATCATGCTTGGAAACCTACCAAGGACGTTAGCACCTCGAGACCTGGCTTCTGAGAGCTGCTCTTTTCTCTCTGCCCCTCGGCCCCGAGGGCCCAGCTTGGCGCCAGGGGGAGAAGCCGGCTTTCTCAGGCCGAGATCTGGAGGGGCAGGTTCTGGAGCTCCTCGAGACACCCCGCGCCCCCCGCCCTGGAGACCCCAGGCCCTCTTACATTTCACAGCGTTCAGGACTCGGCTGTCCAGCGGCTTGCGGCTGGGGTCACTGGTGGACGAACGGATGCCCGTGCCACAGCTGTTGGCCAGTGTGTTCCTGGCGGAGGGATGGGAAGGAGGCAGAGTGAGGCTGCCGGCCGGAGGTGACCCTCGGGAGTGGGCCCTCCCCGCCCACAGACCGGGACGGAGGAGCCGAAAGCCCGCTGGGTGGGGATGTCACCTGGCTTCACCCTTGGACCAGTGTTTACTTCCCAGGAGTCGGGGTGCAGTGGTGGGCAGCAGGCCCCACCGCCCTCTGAGCGGCCGGAGGAAGGAAAGCCTGGGTGGCCTGGGTGGGGTGCCTCCCCCCAGGGGAAGGGGCTCCTCTGACCCACCCACAGAGTGGAGCAAGTGCGCATCTTCATTCCACGGGGGGTGGTCCACAAGCCCTCCCCAGACCCAGCTCCTGTCCAGGTGGACTCGCTCCTTCCCGGAGCCTGGAAGGTCCTCGGGCCGACACAGTGGTGCGAAGTCAGGAAGGTGTGGGGCCTTACGACCAGAGGGCTCGCCGCTAAAGGAGACTCTAGAAGCTTCCGTGCCCGCTGAGGGACGTACCTGTCAAAGAAGGTGGCGAGGAGCCGCCGGAGCAGGACCTTGTGCTTCACGCCTGCGCACAGGTGGCAGTTCATCAGCTGGCCGCGTGTGATGTAGACCCCGGAGCCTGCAGCCGCCAGACATGACAGAGTGTGGCCCTTCGCCTCGCCCCCCAAAACCCAGGGCCATGACCTTCCCGGGGGCTGTAGGGCCAGAACGGGCGTACGGTGGGGTGAGGGGGGCCAGAAAGGGCGGGGAGCAGTGGAAGGCCTTCCTGACTTAGAGCAGGACCCGGGACATGCCACGGCCGTCCCCGAGGCCCCCATCCAGGCCAGGGACCCTGCAGCGCTGGGGACTGTCACTCTAGGGGGCCCCATCACCAGGAGGAGGCAGCCTCGGTCACATGCTTCAAAGGGCTGTCCCCAAACTACCCTTCCAGCCTCAAGGGAATTCCCTGGCGCGGTCTCGGAAACACTCCTTCTTGCCTCTCGGTCCCGTCCCCAAATACCAAGGGATGGGGAGCTGGAATTACGGAGGTCCAGCTGGGGCTTCACTTGGCCAACACGCACCTCCTCTGGGTGCACTGCAGGGTAAGAGCCAGCCCAGGGCAGAGGTGTGACCAGCGAGCCCACCAGAAGCAAGGCCCAGGTGCTCCACCAGGCCCGGGTGAACAAGGACTGAGCCGGCAGCAGGATCAGACCTGCCAGGAGCAGGGGAGGCCTCCTTACACTGAAGGTTGCCTGTGGAAAAGGAGCTTACGCAAGAGTCAGACGGTGCCCTGACTTTGGAGAAAAACCGGTGTGAAAGCCACTGATGGGCACACGCCAACACCCCGGGGCCCCAAGGGCTCTCGGCAACTTCCACGGCTCATCTGGGCCTTGCTCCGAGATCTGTTTCTACAGAGTGTGCACTGTACCTTCTCATCGGAAAATAGACAAGGGCGGGGCCAGGCTCCTTTCCTGGGGGCAGGGCTCCTGTCTGAGGGGCCCCTGGCTCGGCGGCCTTGGGGGCCTCCCTGCTGGCAGCTTTGGTTAAACAAGTGCATGGCCCATGCTGGATGGAGACCACCGTCTCAACCCAAGAGCAGAGCAGGCCACCCTGAGCCACATGGCTGGACAGCCCCTCATTGTGGGGAGATCTGTAAAGGGGTGCTGGGGCCCTGTGGGGCCCGGCAACCTGACGTCCAGCTGTGGGCCAGGCCAGGGAGGGCGGCTTAGCCCTCGCTCCCTCTCAACCCCAAACACTAACAGGCCGCCCCTGAAAGGCGCGGCCCTTCCTCTGAGGTCTCCCCTGGGACCGAGGCCATCTGGTGAGCCCTTTGGACCGGGAACCCACCCCCAGGGCCCGGGCCTGGCTCTCACAATCCATCACAGGCCAACAGTGACCCTCCCTGAACAGAGCTGCCCAGAACAACGACGGCTGGCAAGGGTCTCAGGGCATGGCCTGGAGTGCCCCGACCCCACTCGCCCTGGCCAGACCGGCCACCACCACCCAGCTGTTGTCCTGTCAGCTGAAAGGCGACGCCACCTGTCTGCACCTGGTTCTGAAGCCGCCCTCTGCGGCAGGGGTTCCCAACAGAGGGGACAGCTCGGGCAGAACCCGAGATGCTGCCCAAGGTATGGTGGTCGGGGGTACCAGACAGGAGGTAGGCACCCAGCAGCTCACAGAGAAATCACTCGGAGCGCTGGGGGGGGCGAGGGCCCTGGCCAGCCCGTGTTTGGGACTCCCTTGGTGAACCAAGGAAGAGGTTCCCAGAAAATGGCTCGAGGTCCACCCGCCAGGTTGACGGCACTGTCACTTTTCATCTTCCCGATGAACAGCCTTACAAATCAGACCCACAAGGAGCCGTGAGGCCAAATGAACCCCAACACCGAGAAGATCAGTATTTCTGACAAAGGCACCCAGCCCTAATGGGCTTTGGGACTCAATCATGCCGTTTATTTTCACAGAAAAATTCCACTTCTGACTGTGAGCTGCCATTTGGAACCTCTGGTCATTACCCCTAAGACGCTGCAACTGGAGACTCTGGGAGCTGGGATGGGCTAAGGGAGACTAGTAAACTATATCCGACTTGGTTTTATCTGCGACTTAAATTAAAACACAATCATGCTCACAGCCCCTGCCAATCAGGAGCGCGGCCAGCCCAGGGGATTCAATTAAAATGCTAAATTAATTCAATTGAATAACTCCTCTTAATGACACATTCTTCTAAAAGGAAATTAGAGGAAATTTAAGATGTTCTATCTTTTTTTTGACTGATTGGTGATGAGTACATTGTTCACAGCTCTAAAGAAAAAATGAACGCCAGGCATCTGCATACAATAGATGGGGTGGGGGGGGCTCACCTGCCACCAGCTCCAGCTTCTCACCCGGGTCCCCCTCCGAGTACAGCTTGGGGTGGCAGCGGTACCCGATCTGGCTGATGAGGCTGGCGGGCAGGGCCACCAGGTCGCGGCGGATGAGGACGCAGGAGCGGCTCTCCAGCGGCACTGGTTCCGGCTTCTCTTGCACTGTGGGCACAGAACCCAGCGGTTAGGGGCGTCCTCTGGGAGCCCGGGGCAAGGATGGAGAAGGACATCCTTCCTGCCCAGCCAGGCCAGGGTCAGACCCGCTGCGCCCACCCTCCGTGTCCTCCCTACCCACCTGGTCCTGCCCTCTGCAGGGAGGACAGAGTGAAGGAGTGAGCGGAGGGAGGCAGACAAGGGACACCCACCCGGGCCTAGAACAGGTCGCTCAGGGCTGAGGGGTGGGCAGGAAAGAGGGCAGGCTGGCGGGGGGCCGGGGGAGCGGCCCCCTCTGCCGATGGAGTGGAGGCTGGGAGCAGAAAGGGCCCCAGACTGTCCCCCCAGCCTGCTTCCTCATGGCACCACCTCTGCAGGTGGGGGGACACAACCCCTCCACGAGTGGACACCTCCCCAGAGGCCGCACCATGTACGCCCGGCCGAGTGGCAGCTCCATAAATATTTGCCGGCAGTGAAGCCAGGCAGTAGCAGAGCCGGGGAAGGCAGACGCAGCGTCGCCGGGGGCTGGCTCCAGCCCTCCGGGCCGTCTGGGAATGTTCCTGACACACCACCGCTGAGGGGACGGTCAGGGACCCCTGAGCATGCCAGACCTGCAGCTACGATGGGGACGGGGGTGGAGGGGGAAGGTGAGGCCCCCTCTGATGTCCCCAACTTGCACCGCAGGCCAGACATCAAGCAGACGACCGCCCTGCCCTCCCAACCACCCACCCTGGCCTGGCCTGGCCACAGGCCCTCGGGCGGGTCTCTTGCAGCCGGGATGGGGTTCCCCTCCAGGGCTCACCGAGGCCCCAAGTCTGTGGGGCACTTGCTGGGCACCCACCATGCCCACATGCTGAGCCAGGTGTCTGGAGGCTGAGGCGGAGCCGTGGGCCTGCCCGTTGCCGTCGGGAGTGCCCTGTCCAGGGACAGGCAAGCAGGGGTGGGGGCCGATGCCACGGGGAGGCTCCCACGGTGGAGAGCACCCAGCCACACCAGGCTGTGCACCCCAAGACCCCTCAAGCAGGTGCCCCCAAGTCCTGCCCTGCCTCCTCCCCCATTTCCCCACCACCCTCTCCTCATTCCCTCACAGCCCCTTCCTCATCTTCCTGCCTGTGCATCAACAGCTCCTGCCCCTGAAGCCTCACGCCCCGCCTATCCCAGGGTCAGGATGAGGCCTGCGCAGAGGCAGAGCCGAGCTTCAGGGCGCAGCCGGCTCCCCTACCAGCCTCCCCATTCAGGGCACACATGGCCACCAGTCTAGCACTCTTTGCCCTGCCCAGACAGAGGGCAGAGGCCCTGCCTCCCCGATCCCTGTGCCCCTGGACAATTCCAGGTCACCTCCTGGGAGGGCCCTCTGCTCCCAGCCAGCTGTCATCATTGAGAAATCACAGCTGCTCCGGGCGGGCTCCCCCTGCACACCTGGCTGAGCTGCAGGTAAAGACCCGAGGGCCCGTCCCTCCCTCACCCACCCGGTCACACGGGCAGGGTCTGCCTGTCGGAAAGGCCCTCGGGCTGCGCAGATGGCCACTCAGGGTTGGGTCTTCCTGGCCAAGGAGAGTAGTTTCCCTCAGTAGCCTTAGTGGACACTGCGGGAGCGGCAGCTCATAGAACCTTCAGGATTCGGATGCCCAGAGGGCAGGGCTGGGCTGGAACCTACTCCTCCGCCTGGCTAGCGCCCCTGTCCCCTCTGCACTGTGACACCCCTCAGGGGTCACAGGAAAAGTCAGCAGAGGCACTTGAGCCTGAGGAAGACCAGGATGGGCCGGGAGAAGGAGTCGGGGAAGCCACGTGGGGTGGGGCTGCTGTAAAGGAACTTCAGCAGGGAGGGGGGCAAAGAAGGGTCCCGGGCGGACATCCCCTCACTCCCGCCCAGACCCCCAGAACCTGTAGTGTGAGCATGAAGTAACCCCAAGTTATCTTTGCACCAAGCTCCCGTGGGGGAGGGAGAGGGGCCGTCCAGTCCCTAGAGGACCAGCATCCGAAAAACACAAGCGAGTCCTTCGGGAAAAGGCAAGACGGTGGGTCCCAGTCCTGAGGTCAGGGTGGGGGGTCGCAGCACCCAGCTACTCTGGACCTCCCCCCAACCAGGTCTGGAATCACGGGCTCTGGAGTCACCCAAATTCCCATCAAGGACCCCCAGTCCACCCCTCCACCCTGTCCCCTCGGTGCTCAGTCCCTTCCCAAGGAGGCACCACCAGTGTGCACAGGACGAGGACCAGCACACTGTGCCTTCAGTCCAGCTGCTGCCGAATTCCAGGGTGAGGGAGGGAGTTTTCCCAAGTTGGCAGACCCCCGGTGGAGGCTGCAGCACAGACCAGGCAGAAGTCAGGGGGTGGCCACTGCGGGGGGCATTTCCCAGCAGGCGTGTTTGGGGAACCCGGGCAGGGCCAGATCAGCAGAGAGTAAGGAGAATCTTCCAAACCTGGAATACCCAGGGGCTCGGGAGCACAGGAAAAACAAGCCGGATGATATTTTAAAACATAATTACCCGCCCCCGCCCCCCAGCCTGCTGTGATTACACACGCAGACTCGGGGAGCGCCAACGCTGGCGCCGTGGCATTTACATAAAGAGTGCTCATCCCCATCCACAACTCCTCGTCCCGCAATGTTTCTCCAAACAGCAGAAGTTGTTTGCTCTCTGCACACCGCACCCCCCACCCCAGCCCGGCTCCCCAAGAGCCAGAAACTGTCAGATCCAGAGCAACCAGAGGAGCCTCTTCTATTTCTGCTTTGCCATGTGCCGGATACTGCGCCAGCTAAAAATACCCTAACCCGAGTGGTGGCTCATCTGGAAAGGTGCCCCAAATTTCTTCACGCACCCCTACCCCTTCCCTGGGCCCCAAGTCACCCACCGCGGCCTGGAGCTGAGCTTCAGGGGCTCCTCCTTCCAGGGGAGAGGAGGGGGCCGAGGTACAACTAGGTTCTGGAAACCCAGAAGAGCTTGTGCACAGGGGCACAGAGTGGGGCCGCCTGCATGTCCCTGGTGGCCCTCTGGATGGGTCATTCCAGCGCCTGATCTAAAGGGTGGTGGGAGGCCCCTTGCGGGCTGTGGGCAGGGGCGTGCAACCTGCAGAGACCCCTCAGGTCACACCTAGGTCCCTTGAGCACCAGGGACGCAGCGGCCTCCTGTCACCCCAGGACCGGCCGCCGTGACGGCGCTGCCACCTTCACCATCAACAGCACGCTTGTAACCCGCAGCAACTGTGGTTTCCAGGATTGCAGGCTCCGTGAAATTTGCGGAGAAGCACGTGCAAGAGCAATTAGCTGTTGTTTCAGGAGGTGAGTAATCGCCCTCCATGTAGGTGAGGTGAGTCACGGTCATAAAGGTCACGATGGAAAGATCCGGAACAGGAGCTAATCTGGGCATGGGGCCGCAGCAACCAAAGGCAGGCAAGGTTTCCCTCAGGTCACACTGGCCTAAGAAAACCCAGCGGTGGACAGTCCGGGGGCTCCGAATGGGGGTCCAGAAGGGCCCCTTGTGCCTTCAAGGCCCTGCTGCTCCCTGCCTGGGTCGCCCAGCACGAATCCAACCAATGAAGAAGGAACAGGACCCGGAGGACGCCATGCTGAGTGAGATGAGCCAGACACAGAGCCACAGATCCTGTGGGATTCCACTCATATGAGGGACGAGAGGAGTCAGCCCACAGAGACAGGAAGTGGATGGTGGTGTCGGGCTGGGGGAGGGGGTGGGGGTGAGTGTTTAATGGGGACGGAGCTTCAGTTTGGCAAGATGGAAAGTTCTGGAGATGGATGGTATCTAACACCACCAAACTATGCACTTAAACATGGTTATAAAGGTAAATCTTATATTATGTACATTCTACCACAATAAAGAAATTTTTTTAAAAGAATGAAGGGAAGGAGGAGCGGGTGATGCGGGTCTGGAGGGAAAGGGGGAGGGTGGCGCTGGCCTCAGCCCCTGAACTTTTCTCCCCCTCCCGGGTTCACTGACTCAGAATCTGGATCCTCTCCCCCAGCAGAACACACTAAGGCCCCAACCCACAGGACATGGCCAGGGGCCCCAAACCACGAACCCTGTTGCCTGCCCCAGATGTACGGTCTCCCTGGGGAATCACCCAGGTGAGACCTCGAGCGCTCCCCGCCCTCGGGAGCCCCCCCAATGTGAGGGGCTGCCGGCAGGCGATGGAGCCACCCTGGTCAAGCCACAGCGGAGCCCTGCTGAGGTTGGGCAGGGAGGGGTGGGAGACAGAGAAGGTGATGTCCACGCCACAAAAGTGTGTGCCATTTGTTAAACGGCAGAACAAGAAAACAAACCCTGGTCCTTAATTATATAGAAAAAGACAACTTAAAACCAAATGGAGGGGCTGGCCTGGTGGCGTATCGGTTAGGTGCACGTGCTCTGCTGCGGCAGCCCGGGGTTCACGGGTTCGGATCCCAGGCGCGCATTGACGCACCGCTTGTCAAGCCATGCTGTGGCAGCGTCCCATATAAAGTGGAGGAGGATGGGCACGGATGTTAGCCCAGGGCCAATCCTTCTCAGCAAAAAGAGGAGGATTGGCAACAGATGTTAGCTCAGGACTGATCTTCCTCACACACACACACACACACACACAGACACACACACACACACAAAAAAAAACAAATGGCAAGAAAAATGCTGAAATCACACTGACTGAAGATGTCTCTAAGTTGTAGTAACAAGCCTGCATGCACTGGCGACAGAGACACGGCCCCGGAACGGACCCACACAAACACTCCAGTTGATCTGGGACAAAGGGGCACACACCACACAGAGGAGGAAGAAATGGTGCCGAGTCACCAGCCACACATGGGCAGAACCCAAACCCAGACACCCTAGATCTAAACCACACACCTCACACAAAAATGAACGAAAATGGATCGTAGACCTAAATATAAAACACAAAACTTAAAACTTGGAGAAAATCGTTGTGATCTTGGGTTCAGCTAAAAGCTTACACGTGACCCCAAAAGCAGAACCCATAACAGGATTAATTGATAACTGATTTCATCAAAATGGAAAACTCCCG